TTTTTTTTTTTTTTTCTTCAAATGCTGTCTTTCAGCTATGTTGTGATAAAAGAGAGAGATATTCAGCACTCGTGCATTTGTTACAGTCAGACGCACCTCAATCTGCCATCATTTTTGTTGGAGAGCAGGTTAGTGACACAGTTAGCACCCTCCCGGGCATTTATTGGTTGATATGAATTATTTATGTGGTTAGCTACATGAACTGGAACGAGCATTTCCTTTTGTGTTCAATCATTTATGTTCATTTCACTATGTCGAATAGTCTCCAAAGCCACATAGGTGAAACTTGAGTGCACACTGCTCTGGCATTGTTATTAAACAAAATAAAAAATAAAAAATATTGCTTTGGCAGGCCAAGAATCTTAATTGGATCCTCCCATGTTTAATTTTGTAACATCTTAAAGCTCTATGGGAAAGCAGTTGTGACCTCCAGTAGGTGGTGTAACCATGGATGCCCGAAATAATAATTTAACTTATGCGGTGCAATTTTTTCTTTCTTCTTTTTAATTTCATGAATATCTTGCTTCTATAATGTATAGTAATACTAATATGTGAATAGATTTTGATCACCATATTTAAAAAATATGAAAATTTTCTTCAATTGAAGTTAGTCAAAGATAGAATGTTATACGTACTATTTATTCACATCTATCACTTAATATGCAGTCTGAGAAATCGAAAAAAGCTGGAAATCCTCCACCAACAACTCATCTAATCGAATTTCTGAAAACCTCTATTGATGGATGCCCGGAGTTGGTCCTGTTAGAAGAAGACATGAATTTTCACAAACGAGCTGCATCCTTAACCGTAAGTGCAACTAATCCTATTCAAACTCTTCTGCTCATTTTAGGACAACTAATCCTTAACCGTAAGTACAACTAAACATACTTCTATTTTTCTTGGTTTAGGACATAAAGCAATCAGGAGGCTATATTCTAGTTGCAACTGATATTGCTGCCCGAGGGGTTGACCTGCCAGAAACAACCCATATATACAACTTTGACCTTCCGAAAGATGCAGTACATTATCTTCACCGAGCGGGAAGAACAGGTCGAAAGCCATTCTCGGACAGTAAATGTTTTGTTACCAGCATTGTAACTGCAGATGAACGGTTTGTATTGGAGAGGTTCGAAAACGAATTGCTATTCCATTGTGAAGAACTATCATTCAGTGTATAACTGACCATATATCGAAAGGTTCGAAATTTATGCATATTTTTCTCGAGAAAAGTTGGTCGATCCAGGAATTATATTTTCGACAAGTGCTCTACAGTTTACGATACTACATTAACTTTTATATGTTTGAGAACAAATTTAGTAATATGAGAATGTCATTACTAGTGAATTGTTACACTGGCACAACTTCATGAACAATTTGGCAGAACCTCAAGATCCTAAAAAATTTACTTGTTAATGACAGTAACAGGATGTCATATCACAGTCCCATCTTTGATAATTGAATTCTTCGGTATTACTGTGACGCCCGATCGAATGTAAAACCCTTCCGACGTTCTATCAGCCTCTTGTACACCCTGCGAACCAAGATATGAATGTGAAGGCACAATAATGAGTTTTTTTTTTTTTTTAATGAATAATTTAGAATGTCGATTAAAGATCTAAATACTCATAAAATATATAAACACGAATGTTTCGAAAAATCAAAATTCCAAATGGTCACGAGTGGTGTTACACTTACCTCCGAATTTTCAATGACTACGTTTTTACCAATCCGAGCATTCTTGTCGATGATGCATTCTCTGTTTAAGAGTAAAGATTCATACGTGAAGATGATAATAACTGGAATGTGATATCGAAGAAGGCATAAGCAGAAGCCAAATTTCTTTACTTTATTCTTGTATTTTCACCAATCCCTATAGGAACTTTCCCCTTAGACAAAGCTAACGCAATTTCGGAATCCGTTTCATAGTAGTCGGCCCCCAGCATCACCGTATCCTGCAAAACACGACGAGCTAAGTTTCTCGTCTCTTTTTCTTCTGTTTTTCAATCGAACCACAGAAAAAATCTGTAGTTACTTTGATGGGATACAAACCTTGAGGTGAGTGTTGGAGTTTATACGTGACCGAATGCCGACAACACTGTGTTCGATAACGCAACTAGTTAAGAAACTCCCATGAGATACTATTGAATCAACAATCTGCAAAAACGAACCCGGAATATGAAAAATAAGAACATGAAAACATACGAAATTACTGATACGAAAAATGTAGTGACCTTGCTGTTGTCTATCTTTGATGGCGGCAAGTTTCTTCTTGATGTGTATATTGGCTTTGCTGCATCATAGAAGCTGAATCTTGGTGGCTAACATAACAAAGCAAATCAAGAACAAAGTATGTTTATAAGTATGGAATAAACAATAAATCGAGTTGTCTATGGAAACTACAGCTACAACTTACATGCTCCGTCAGGGCAAGGTTAGCTTCAAAAAACGATCGAATTGTACCAATGTCTTCCCAGTAATCGTTAAACAGATACGCCTGCAGAATTTTCATGTTTTAAAAATGATTTTTCACATTACAGTTAGAAATGAAGAAACACATGCAAGATTGAAAAAAGAAGAAGTAAGAGCTCTGTAGGTTGACCTTAATAAAGAATTCTCTAGCCGAAGCAGGTATAATTTCTGATCCAAAATCGTTTGCAGTCGGAAAACGCCATCTGAATCAGTACGAGTATATAAAGAAATGTACTAAGATTTTCCATTTAGGCAACGAAGCTCGGAATAAATCTGTATAAAAGGCGATTTACCTGCACTTATGCAAATATTATGCTATTGATTTAGAGTTTTACCTGAGAAGGTTGAGAAGTATTTCCTTCTTAAAGACATAAACTCCCATTGAAGCAATATAAGGCTTCTTCTCAGCCTCGTCCCTCGACAGTCCCAAAACAGTCGTGTCTACAGCCTGAAAATATATATACACACAAACACGACACGTTAAATTGAATGGCGTTCGTTCGAAATATTAAAAAATGTTATTTATATCCTTCTGAACTTACCATTGCCTTCAAGTCATTTCCTTTGGGTTTCTCGCTGAACGAAAGTACCCTTCCTTTGTTGTCAATCTTCATCAAACCAAAATCCGAGGCGCGACTATCATCAAAAACAGATAAAAATCACTTGAGAAACATTAAATTATCAGATAAAAATCTGAATGAAAGTACACTCTTTGTCTTGTCTTAAAAAAACTAGAATATGAAAAAGGAAAAGGAAGAAAGCTCTACCTGTCATCGATCGGCAAACATGATATAGTGATATCTGCACCACTCTGCCTGTGATTCTGCATAAACAAACACGGTGTTATGTAATATATTTCTATGAAGAAACATGTCTTTTTAGTACTGCAACACTTTTCTCTTTACCTGAACAAAGTCCATGTAGTCCATCCTGTACAGGTGATCTCCCGACAGAATGAGAACATCCTCAATATGTTTGCTTCTCGGATCCTATGTTGCATGCAATTATAATTAACAAACACAATAAATTACATCGTAACAAGAAAATTAGCCCTCTTCCTCCC